CTTTGTTGAAGTAAGGTTATGTCTTTGTTGTATGACTTTCTTCACTTACAAACTAAAGATTAATAACTATACAATGCAACCACTTTTGGAGGCAATATCCTTCACATGAAGAACGTTTCAGACAAGGTTTCAGACATTCAAAGACAATATCCAGTTAGTCATTCAAGGACCTTATGAGATAGATGTGTGATAACATTATCCCCATTTAAAAAGTAAATGTGGAGTTGCAAGCATAGGAAGGAAAGTTGAGAACCTAAAGCAATCTTGTGATTCTTTTTTGAGTATCATTTATTCAGTTGCTTAGAGAATGAAGAGTTCAAAAGACACGGGAGAATCAGAACTAAAGGCAGTGGCTGCTAAGTCTTTGGGGTTGCAAGCCCGCTGGGATAGCTCTCAGAATTTCCCCTCCCAATCTAAAAAGTTACGAGTGGCAAATTCTTCAAGTTTAAGTTAAACAGAATTGATTTTGGGGGCTGTGATTTGAGGCTCTTATAATATACCCTGGAGATCACTCGCAATATTCCGCAGTACAGAAAACCCAGATTTAGGTTTATCAGCCCTCAGAAAGTTCAAATATCCTTTGGAAACAGGTTCTTCTCTTCTACCTTACACTTGTCAAGGTAAGAGGAGATGGGAGGAAGAAAGGCTTCTCCTACCTCTAAGACCTTATCTCTTAATCCACAAGAAATCTTGCTCTGTGCACAGGAGATGTCTTCCAGTGGTAGGGTTTATTGAAACATTTGAAGAGCAACAGGGGAAGGCAGGAGTTGCAGTTTTTGTGTTTGCAAAGGGCCTTAAAGAATCTCCAGGGCTTCTGGACAGAAAATAGGTATTTATATTACAAGGCATGAGGTCAGTCAACTAACTGACCATGATGGTCCTTTAAGAAAGAGAAACCACATAAGTGAAAACCAACAGACTCTCAGGTAGAGGTAGATCTTTGTTTTGCAAAAAAATTGGTTTTCTGTTTTCTCTTTGGTGGGATGACTTCAGAATGAAAGTTATAATTTGGACTTTGTTTCTAAAGTTTTTCTACTCATCAGACTTAGGATAGAACAGTTCTAAGGTTATCTAAAGCCAAGGGCTGGAAACCCCCAGGAGAGATAAGGAGGAAGGATAGAGAGAGAGAGACATACACCCGTGAAAATACTTAGAAAAGCTTCAGTGCTTGTCAGATGCAGGCCTTGGCAAGAATCCCCAAACACCCTTCAAGCAGGCTGCTGCATTGCTGTGTAGACTGGCTGTAGGGAAGACTGATCAAGTGGCAAGAAAGCAGTCACTCAGGTTCAGCTTGCTACTGCCCCCTGGGTCCTCGTTTCTCTTGTCATGCTTCCATTTCAGTCACTGATACCATTGTCCTTTTATTTCTATTTCTTGACCCAGTGCACGGACTAGAACTCCGGTACAATGCTAGAGAAGTGGTAAAAGTGGATGCCCTTATCTCCTTGTTGATATTTGGGGAAAAGCATTCCGTTTTCCACATTAAGAATTATGTTAACTGTAAGTTTTGGTAGTTCTGTTTATTGGTTGAGGACATTCCCTTTTATTTCTTGTTTGCTGAGAGGTATCAGGAATACACGTTGAATTAAGTCAAATTGGCCTTTTCTATGTCTTTTGAGATGATTGGATAATTTTAGATTTTTAGTTTGTAAATATGGTAAGTTGATTGATTTTCAAATATTAAACTAAAATTGCATTCTCTGGGTAAACCACACTTGGTTATGATATTTTTGAATGTATGATGTTTTGTTGGATTCAATTTACTGAGATTTTGTTTAGAACTTTAGCATTACGAGGAATATTGCCTTGTTGTTTTCTTTTCCTATAATATCTTTGTCCGATTTGGTATTAAGGTAATATGGCTTCATAGAATGAGTTGTAAAGTGTTCCTTCCACTTCACTTTTTCTGGTAATATTATGGTACTATTCATTTTCTGGTATTACTAATTGTTTTGTAGAATTCACCAGTAAGTCCATTTGGGCCTGGAGTTATCTTTATGGGAGGGTTTTTAACTAGAAATTCAATTTCTGAAGTAGATACAGGGCTATTCGGATTATGTATTTCTACTGTAGGGACCTTTGTAAACTTGTATCTCTCAAGGAATGCATCCATTTCGTTGGCGTTGTTAAATTTATTTACATAAACTTGTTCATAATATTCCCTTATTATTTATTCAATGCCCATAGATTCTCTAGTGTTGTCATTCCTGTTATCGGTAATGTGTGTCTTTTCTCATTCATTCCTGGTCAGTTTGGCTAGAGGTTTCTTAATTTTATTTATCTTCTCAAAGAATCAGCTTTTGGCTCCATTGATTTTTCTGACTCGTTTTTCTGTTTTCTATTGCATCATTTTCTACTCTTATCTTTATTATTTCCTCTTTCCTGTTTGCTTTGTGTTTAACTTATTCTTTGTTTTCTGGTTTCTGAAGGTGGACGCTGAGGTCACTAGTTAAAGACATTTTTCTTTTCTAAAGTAGATGTCTGGCACTATAAAATTCCTCCTAAATAATTTAAGATGCTTCAGTGGCATCCCACAAATTCTTTTTTTTAAAAAATTGTTTAATGTCTGTTTTTGTCCAGTTTTATTGAGAGATATAATTGACAGACAAGCATAAATGCTGATAGGTAGTGTTTTTGATTTCCCTTTAGCATTTTTCTTTGACTCTGTTCCTTTTAATCCTTTCGTCACTTCTTTGGCCTCAGGTAATTTCATCATCTGCGGGTGCTAATCAGTACTCTGATGAATATTTGAGGGGGCTGCTGCAGACCTCTGGAGTTCTCTTTTCGTGCATCACTCTCTTCCTTGCTACTCTCTCCTTGTGAACTCTGCCCTCCTTGGTTTTCCTGGGTTCTCAGCTATGTTTTTTTTTTAACTCAGGGATTTGGGCTTTGCCTGGGTTCCTTCTTCTTGAGCCACAGCCTTCATGGTCTTATGTCCACAGTCTTGAAAATTGTTATTTTATATATTTTGTTCAGTGTATTGATGATTTGGTTGGAGGTTAAATCTGTTCCCTATCACTCCATCTTAGTCAGAAGCAGAAGCTGGCAGTGTTTTTGTTTTTACAACCCAGTATTGGATGTTAAAATTGATTTATTAGGTTACTACAAACATTAAAAATAAAATGGTGTAAAACGGAAAATATTTTAATGGTGTTCCGTGTATTAACAGTAAGTTTTTTGAAATTCTTTTTAAGTTATATGTATTTATGTGTGTGTACCTTGGATTGTGGTATAAAAAGGATTTCATACTATGGATCATGGTTAAAAAAAAAAAAAAACCTTGAAAAATGCTGTCCTAATACAGTACTGGTTCAGTAAAAGCAAGAGTCTGCAACACTTAGTCTCTCTCCACCTCTGCCTTGAAGAGTTCATATGATCTGGGGAAAATTATTGCTATTTTATTTTGTCCATCTGAAAAATGTTCATCATCTCTGGTCTGAGAATCTCTGAAATCTCTGTGCAATACCTTATAGTTCTTAAAAATAAGATATACCCATAATTTAATCAGTTAGGAAATAGTTATCACTTGCCCAATGTGCTTCAGGCACTGTGCATGACAATCTTGAGCTACCAGTGTGAAGGACAGGGAGGCCCTCACTAGCCTGGAGCTAGAACATTTCTGGCTACCAGAGGAAGCAGAAAATAAGGTTTGAAGAAGTGCTATGTCAACTTTCAGCACGGGATTCAGAGATTGTGAAGATGGGAGGGAGAGTGTCCAGATGGAATTGTTTGAGGGACTTGCAGTGTTAGAGGTTAACAAAGTGAGAGTGCAGAGAGCCCATTTGAAGAATCTCAACGCTAGCTTATTTCATTTCATTCATTACACACACATACCCCCCCCACACTATTTTAATACTATGTCCTTGAGATATATCAATGAACAAAATGACCCTTGCCTTCATGGAGTTTACATTCCACTAGGAGAAATGCAGTAAACAATCAATATAATAAATAAGTGAATGGTCTCTTGAAAAATGGTAAGGACTATGGAAAAAAACTAAGCAGTAAAAGGGTAATTAGAAGCGGTGTTGCCAGTTCTAATTTTATGTGGGAGATAGTCAATGAGGGTAAATTTAGAATCCAAATTTAATAGTAGTATATATTGTAATACAGATTCTAAAAATATTCTAACGTAATTAGAATCTTTATGATGCATTGACACTTTGCGGCCACTAGGACGCAAATAGGCCATTCTGAGAAAAATGGGGTGAGGGTGGGTTTTGTGTGTGTGTGGGCGGGGGAGAGAGATGGAGATGGAGATGTATGTAATTATGCACATACCCTACTTCCAGGTGCTCTGCACGGGCTAGGTAGAAGAGTTTGTCTGACCGGGACCAAGACATTTTTGCCCTTTGCTTTCCTTCCTTGGAAGGAGTTGGCGGCTGAGCAGAGAAATGAACTTCAGCTTGGCTATTCAGCACCCAGTGCGTGTTACAACCGAGTGATGGTGGAGAGAGACAGACCTGCTGGCCTTTTCTTCCGGCCCTGCAGTGAGATTTTTATGGGCTCTGTGCGAGGATTCCCGCGGTTGCACTCAGCGCTTAGGGTCTGTATAATAGCCCCTCTAGATGCTTTCCGTTTCCTTATTCTGTTTAAAACGTCGCCGAGATTCAAGCACTTATCTGGATGTTCGGCTTTTTCGATCCTCCCAACCCAGCCTCTGCCGGTAGATGGGTGATCATTCCTATCTTTTGGACGAGATCCCATTCGGTCGCCCTTACTGGCGCAGAGAGCTGCCTGCCTTTTACTCAGGTCGGAGATCGGCGAAACCTGGCAAGCAGCGCGCCCGCCGGGCACGGGCGCGCACGCGTCGGGCGCCGCAGGTTGCGCATCTGGCGCCAGAGCGCGCCCCCCGCGCGGTTGCAGCAGTGGCCGCGGCCCTTGGTTTGGGCTCTCCAGCGTGCCGGGCGCTCTCTCCCCGCGCGGGGGCACCAGAGCCCTCGGAAGTGTCTGGCACTGCGGTGCATTTCCCTAGTTCCTTCTAAATGACTGCGGAAAAACATCTTCTCCGAGCCGCAGATGGGAAGACGGATTCTTAGACCAGGCTTGCGAATGCCCAGCAGCCATCGTTTAACTGATCCCGCAGAGCAGTTACGATTTGTCACCCGACCCTCCCGGATCGCCTTATTTGTCCCTAGTGAGACCCCGGGGCTCTGGTCGTGCCGGGCTTCCCAGTAGCTGGATGTATGTCGTGCTCCGGGCGGCGCGGGCGCAGGGCACGCGTTCGCGCACACCCGCGTACACACGAAAACGCACAAGGTACGGCAGGGGAGCAAGGGCTTTGGGTACCCCGAGTGGGGGTGGGCATAGCAGGGAGTGATGTGGGAATGGCTGCATCCTGCCAGGTTGACTGATGAGAAAAAATGACGCGGCGCCACACATCGGACAGGCCAGGGTTGCTGCCGCGCACTTAGGGAACCCAATACGCGCCAGGCGCGCTCCCTTCCTCTCACATGTCTCTGTTTCCCGGGCGTGTGATCCCAGAAAACCGCAAGAAAAAGACCCACTTCGAGAGCTAGAGTTTCGTTTGAATATTCCCCTCCCTCTACGAAAGCACCAACAGGAAGACCCTCCAAAACCACGGATTCCCAAATAGATATCCCGGAATGGGGGCGGTTATCCTTGGTTACCGATGCTGAATACGTTTTGGTGTTTACAATATTTATTTATTTTTAGGATACTTCACCCTCCCCTTTAGTCAGGATGGTAAAGGAGAACGCAGCGGGGAGGGAGGATTCCTATAATAAGAATCAGCTCATTTTTCAGAGCTGAACTGAGCTGGGTTTCCATTTCAAAAAAGGAGACAGCCTCTGCTGGGATTGTAGAAGATACCGCGGTGTGAATTAGGGACTGGGAGGCGTCGAGCAGCGGAACGGTCCATTTAAGAGGTACCTGGATCTAAATGAACACACACACACACACACACACACACACACACACACATACACCCACCCACCCACCCCCACCCCACACGCGCGCGTCTACACAGCCAGGATGTGTGCGTGTGAGCGTATGTGCGCGTGTGTGAACTCCCACATGCTGCTGCTGTCTGCTTCTGGCCAGTGGCACCGATGCCTCCCTCCTCCCCGCTCGCCCCCAGATTCCCCTCCCCTCCTTGTTGCTTTTGTCTGGAGGGTGTTATGGGTTTGTGTGTGTATGAGCGTGTGTGTTTTTGGATTTCAGACTAATTTTCTGGAGTTTCTGCCCCTGCTCTGCGTCAGCCCTCACGTCACTTCGCCAGCAGTAGCAGAGGCGGCGGCGGCGGCGGCGGCTCCCGGAATTGGGTTGGAGCAGGAGCCTCGTTCGCTCCTTCGCTCGCGCTCTCCGCGCTCAGTGCCCAGCGGCAGGAGGAGCCTGGACCCAGGCGCCGCCGGCGGGGCGGTAGGCGCCGGAGCCTGGGTGAGCAGCGCGGACAGTGGCCTCCCTGGTTTTGGCCCTCACTGTCCCTCCTGGGGCGGCCGTGGCGGCTCCCCAGGTGGGACGCGCCGCACTACCTGCCCGCGCCCCCTGCACCCAGCTGGTGGTGGCGGATTCTGCAGCATCATGGGGAGGGGGGGGCGTCTCGGAGCCATCACAGCCGGCAGTCTCCTCGTCCCCCTTTCAAAGGGTCCTTCTCCTGGCCTATGCCATGGAATCCGATCTCAGGGACCCTTGCCCTACCTTCCTTCTCTCGACTTCAGAAAAAGAATGGGGATACTGGTGGCCCCAGGAGCGTCAGTGCCATCGAGGGGCAAGTTTATTTCTGGGATGGGAACTGGGCACTCATCTATCCACGGTCTCCTGGTTGGGGTCAGGGTGGGGGTGACGCGAGCGCAAAAACAGAGTGCCTCAATTCGTGGTGTCTGGGGTCCTATGCTCAGTCTCATGCGTGTCTGTTTGTCCTCAGCCCCGAGGTGCGTCCGGGATCTCAGTGCACGTCTAGCAAGGAGCCTGCTCCCCAGAGAGTACCGGGAGCGCCGCCGGCCGGTGCCCGGCGCGCCGGGCCATGCTGCGGCGCCCGCGGCGGAGCTGCGAGCGCCAGTAGCGCCCCCCTGTGAAGCAGCCGGAGATGCCCCGGGCACTGTGAACGGTGCTGCCCTTCAGGGCATACTCAGCCCGGGACACTCTCGACTCTGCGGGCCCGCGACCAACATCGAGTAGAGAGAGCGGCGAGCGCGGCAAAGACCGCCCAGCACCGGCAGAGGAGACCGGCCGGTGCAGCACAGGGACACCTACTCGGTTTGACTCCAGCTGGCACTGGCGGCTCGGGATGTCGACCTGGACAAGGTGGCATGGACCCGCAATGGCCCGGCTCTGGGGCTTCTGCTGGCTGGTTGTGGGCTACTGGAGGGCCGCTCTCGCCTGTCCCACGTCCTGCCGATGCAGCACTTCTAGGATCTGGTGCAGCGACCCTACTCCTGGCATTGTGGCATTTCCGAGATTGGAGCCTAACAGTGCAGACCCCGAGAACATCACCGAAATGTGAGTTCCTGGTGCTCTTCCTTCTTTCTTCTCACCTGGCCCCTATGACCGGGGCTGGCCAGGTGGGCCCTTCCTGGGCATGAATGTTGTTTCAAGTCTGGGGAGAAGTCAGAGGTGAGATGTGCGGGGCTGGGCCATTTGTCAACTACCTATCTGTTTCACAGGCTTGGGGGTGATAACATGGGGAGAAGTGTGGCAGCTTAAAATAAGTGATTTTACACACACACACACACACACACACACACACATATGCACACACATACCCCTTGTGCCCCTTGTGGGAAGGCATTCTATATGCACGTTATATTTCAAAGGCCTGCTGGGTATGCTTTAGGCTTTCCATATGCAACAACTTAGTTTTGGACATTTTTGTTTGATAAGATGCTATGTGTATGTTGTGTTAGGGGAAGTTTCAGTAATATTTACTAGAAAGGAGGTTAAGATAATTAACTTTTTGAAATTTGTTGAAAGAGGTTAGAGTCTCTTCCTTACCACCTTTCTCTGAGGTTTGGAGTTGTCCCATTTCCCTTTTCATTTTATACATCAGATTTTGCTTAGGAGATTGCATTCAGAGACGGCCTTGGAAATGACCTGTAAGAGGAGAAGTTCTGAGTGTTGAAAAGCACTTGCTCAAAAGAGAAAATGTGATCATTGGATGCCTAAAAGCCTGATCTGATTTAATTTGGAACTGACTTCTCAGAGATATAATTTTGAGGCCATTTGCATTAGAAATCTTACTTGCCCATTGAATAATTTCACGGGACTAGGTTGGATGATGCAGCAGTGTGTAGCACTCAGAAGAATGCTGCCTTTAGCATGGGATACTTAGGTCCCTGGAAATGTTTGAGCTTGTTCTGATCGGATGGAGAAGCAGAATTGTGCATTTCTGTCCTCCTCTTTCAAGGCCTTGTGACAAAGTAGGAATTTCCAAGTAGGGATTTACCAGTCCTTTCTCCAGCATTCTCCTGTTGCCTCTAATAGAGGTTTTTTTGGGTTTTTTTTTTTGCCCCCATCTTCCCCCCACCCGACTTTGCCATGTATTTCATTAAATGAGATTTTATTCATCCATTTAGAGGGTTGTAAGGCAAACTTTCTCCTGGCTTTCCTTATGTGTTTGATGCTAAGATAGGCAACCCTGAAAGTAGGGCTTGGGCTGTGGCCTTCCGGTTGGCGAGTGCGCATGCATTTTTTTCTCCCACAGAAAACGCACACCCTGTTTCTGCCAACGTATGAACAAGATAACCTGGTTGTTTTTTTTTTTTTTCCATGTAAGTAAGAGACCCATATAGTCTCTGTTTGTTCTGCTGGTGATGTTCTTGTTATAAGGCTCGGGGAGAAGGAAGTGACAACAGAACAGAGGGGAAATGTGCTGGCCTAGCTGTGCTGAGATGTGCCGGGAGCAGCCAACTGTCAGGCTGGATCCAGGATGCTTGGTTCTCAGTCTTTCTTGCAAGGAAAGCAGCAGTCAGGGACTGAACAGAAGGGTGGGTAGGGCCCCGGCCGTGCTGGCCCTGGGCTGGGCTGGTCCAAGTTTGCCAGGCTGCTCAGAGTGTCTATGGCCTTTGGTCAGGATCTGTGTCTTTTTCATGAGATGGGATGTCAGTGGTCAGACGCAGGAAGCCATACGGAATTCGGAGCTCTTCAGAATATTTTGAGACCATGGGCAGTACCTTTGTATAGTTGGATGTTTTGTTGTTGTTTTAAAATTCTGTCTTAGATGATTGATAATATAAAGAGGGAGGAGATGAGATAGGGCTAATCATTTTCATTTTAACCTTTTTTCCACTTTAATATTTTAAATGTCATAATCAAAAAAGACAATGAAACTTTTTAAATTAAAAGGTATTATTTAAATATTAGTGATCTTAGCTACCTGATATATATATATATATATATATCCTGATATATTTATATATATATATATATAAAATCAGTAGATTTGAGCAGAGCTTTCTTGTATCAGTCTCCACAATTGCTGTTCTTTTTATATCTGATGACAGGTTCTTATTTTCAGGATATCTAAAACTGATTTTTTGATTAGATTTACCAAAGTACTTGTCACAGTCATTCATTCAATAATGGCACTCCTATGATTTCTATTCTTATTTTATGCCCTTTTGATTTGAAAATTTATTGAAATTGAGATAATTGAGATGTAGGGATAAGTGTTCAGAATGGGGAATTAGACTGGTTGATAGGAAAAAGTATGTTTTTCTGCTCTCTCCCTCAGTTTTGATTGAGCCCAACCAGTTTGAGTTCCAGGTGTCCTTATCTGTAGAATGTATTGAAATCCTTGTTTAGAAAGCACTTAATATAATTATTTTGAATTCTGCTGTTTTGATATCAAAATGATATCAGTCCATGAGCTTGTTTCACTAATCCATATATGACACCATCTGTGTTCTTTTTCTTACATATTAATATTTGCTTGAACAGCTTTTAAATTCTTGGCCACGGGTACCAGCTACAGTTGGAACCAAATACACATTTTTTAAAATTTTGTTATTAGACCCGGGAGTAGTCCTAAAATAACTTGTTTTAAAGTTCTGGTTTAGTGATGTTTAGAGGAACTTGCATGTTTCTATTTTTTTAAAGAAACAGAAATAATGTAAGTAAATAAACTGATTAGAACTTGCTGGAGCAACAGTTGACTGTATCATTTAAAAGTAGTTTATTTTTAATAGCTATATATTGGGAGAAAATATAACCACTATACCTTTTAGAATACTGAGAGAGGTCATGATAGAACATTTAAAAAAATTGATTAAGATATAAGATTTTTTTTCCTACATGTGTATTTTAAGCCAAGCTGACATTTTGTTTTCAGAGTCATTGTTTGAACCTATTTTATTAAAAATCTCCCCAGCATAGTATCTGTCTCATGCTCTCTACCCACTAACATGATCTATATCTAGATCTATATCTCTCTGTTTGTAGATATACATTACATCTGGCCGTCATCACACATTGAGAAATGCCAGCTTTTGTTACCTGGAGATAGTTATACTGAACCTGCACTAAACTGAGTTTAAAAATAATACCATTGTCACAAATAAGTGAAATTCAAGAGTAAAGGCTGTTGTTGGAATTATGTAACTGGCCACTTAAATCTCAGTTTTATCAAGTGCCAAAATGCATTGCAAAGAACAAGTCCTGTCTCTCCTAAGTGATAAAAGGCATGGTTAAAATAGGTCATGTATTTTTTTTACTGTGGTCAGAAACATATAACATAAAATTTGCCATTTTAACCATTTTTTTGTTGTACCATTTAGTAGTGTTAAGTATATTCATGTTTTTGTAAAATGGAAATTAATTTTTATATTGCCTATATTTTAATGAAGACCAATGGTAACCTTTTTTTTTTCTTCTGAACTTCTTGGGTGATATTCTCTGATTTGGGGGTAATATTTAGAGACAGTGTGATTTTTTTTCTTCTCAGTACAACACAAATAGAATTTGCAGCTTCTGCTGCCAGAGCTTCTATGTGCAATTTATTGTTAGCTTGGTTAAGTGACTGTAATGTTATGTCATTAGTACATTGATTTGGCCCTCTCACCTTAGTTAGCTTTTCCATTGCAATTAATTGTACTAAAAAACAGTTCTGGCATTTATAAAGATCCAGTGAAAGGCGTCAGTTTTTATTACTGTGATATTTACTTCTCAGCCCCTCCATTGGAGGTTCTAGAAGTTTGAATTGTACTTTACTTGCATTTAAGAACCACAGAGTAAGTTTTGAGTGCAGTTATATAAGCCACACTGGACTTGTTAATAAGTAAGGCAATCTAATTTACATCATTCAGTGTTTAATACAGCTTGCAAGCTCTTGTTGAACACACACTGTCTTCATAGTGAAGGTATTTTCAGAATTCAGCTCAGCACAACCATTTTGAAGTCTTAGTTTCATACCTTCCATCTCTGCATTATGGAGGTTTTTATTACACTGGGTCAAGCAATTGAAAAGCTCCATGACCCTTCTGACCCTACTTTCTTCCACTTCCCCGTCTCCATCACCTCTCATTGACTATCTTTTCCGAAAAGTGATATTTTCCTATGGGAATTCAGAACACTGGAGTTCAGAGAAGAGCCTGGGTTACATGTTATTATAAACAAGTACAGTGATGGGAAATCAAGATAGTGTGGTCACAGCTCCTTAACACCAAGTTTAGCTTATTTTTTTTTTCCTGAGTTTAAGATCTTTCACTGTTTTTATCCCATAAACCTCTGTTTGTGTCTATTTCAGTATTCCCTTGTAAAGACATTTTCTGAGCTGAAAAGTTGGCCGAACAGCTGAGAGTTGAGGTCTCTTTTCTCCCTAGGAACATTCTGTATGATCTCTTTGACTATATCTAGGTCATAGGAGTATAAAACCTAGAGTTTTTGTTTAACTGGGGAAAGGAAATTGAGTTTCTTTCTTTGTTTCTCTCTCTCCCTCTTTCTTTCTTTCTTTCTTTCTTTCTTTCTTTCTTTCTTTCTTTCTTTCCTTTGCCTTTGATACTAAGCAAGTGCCTCTACTGTTAACTCATTGCTCACCTTGCCTGTTAAGGGAAGAAACATTTTCAAACTATGGTTACATATTATACACTGATATTATTTCTAGATTAACTTTACCACTTCTCTGGAGAGCTTTTAATAGGTTCAAAAACTGTAAGGTAGAATGTGGCATTGAATCTGCTGCCCTTGGGGCAGTGCCAAATTTTGTTCCTCTTGATGTCTATAAATCAATAGGATGATTTCGGGGGCGGGGGAAGAGGTTATCTTGATAGGGCAAACTATTTACTTTTGTTTGATGTGTGTGAGACAGAAAAGAGAGAATAAAACTGAACTTTGAATTATTAAGAGCTAATTAATCATTTTCAAAATCTACTTGGTCTAGTGAATTTAAAACACCAATTCATCCGCCACCCCCACCCGGTGGCAGAAATCTGAGCCCTACAGTGGCCTGATAATTTTAGCTCTGCATTTGTTTGCTGATCAATTTTAATTAAAAAAGGCAGTGATCC